GTGTGTGTGTGTGTGTGTGTGTGTGTGTGTGTGTTTATGATAACTTGCCATCTAGTCATAAGGTACAGACATCTCAGAGATTTTGTTAGAAACATAGATATTCATTTTACAAACAGACAAAATGTAGACTAGACTGAAATTTGGTCATCACACTTGAAATAGGTCTTCAAAGTCATTTACAAAAGCTACAACTAAATTTTAGGTAAACGTTTAAAAGTTCAGTTRTAACAGATAAGCATTTTGAATCATCTAAGCAGGCATCATCTCAGCTGCTTTGTCATGAAACCTTAATGATATTTTGAACTTAGCTGAGAGTTTGCTGATGAATATCTGTTGCCAGTATCAGCAGAAATATTAGACATAAACAACAATAATATAATTGTAGGAGGCTTTTGATGAACTGTGGGGTGCATCGTATGAATAAAATGTTACCATGTTGTCAGAATACATGTGTTTTACTGGAAATAGTCTCCCAGCTTCAAGCCTCTGTGAGTGTGTATTTCACAGCTGCTAAATGACTGACACGTCAGTGAGATGTTCACATTTCTGCGTGGTTTGGACAGACCCATTACGCTTGTGAGTTTGTTTTGCGATCATAAAACGAGAGCTGTAAATAGGAGATAATGAGCATGTCTCAGGAGGTGGACTCATTGTGCTCATTTTCTCTGAGTAATTGGTTTAACAGCGTCAACAGTGTTCATCAGAATTAGTTTTAGACATACAGATGTCAACAAAGTTAAATGTGTCATTTGTGTGTCCACTCCTTGTGATGGCACTGTGAAAGTTACAACATAGAAACATAAAATTTGAAACAAACAGCTTGTTTCAGCTCACAACAAAGACCTGTAAATTGAAAAAAAAAAAGTCAACAAAATTGGTTGTCTGCTTTTGTGGCTGCTGCTGGTGGGGTGACATCATTATCTGGTTTTCTGTTCATGTGTGGCACCAGTAAAAGCACACAAACATGTAGCAACTTAAATAACCCCAGCAGGTATATATTTTAAACTACTGCTGTCTCAGGAGCACAATACATATTGCATTTTTGAGATTTTTTTAAATAAAAGTTTTAAAGTAAATGTTGTTTTTAAATTGTGGGGTCTTAATAGAATGAATGTGATGTTCTCTGTGGATGGTGTTTTAGGTGTGCTTGCTGCAAACCAGTTTCCCTTTGGGATATGAATAAAGCTGAACTGAACTGAACTGAACTGAAAAAGTCTGCAAACATAATTATTAAAAAAAAACAACCGAGTCTAGCCTCTCTGACTTTATCTGTCATTAGTTCAGCCTGTGCTGTAGTACATAAAGATCTTCCAAATCTTATTCATCACTGCCTGTTCTGACTCTTTGTCACGGCCACTGTTTCCAAACTGTACAACGTACTATAGCTGCTCTCATTACTAAAACTACTACTACTATTACTAAACTGCATTAAAAAACAACATCATTCTGTACCACATGGGCTCGGGAACACTTCAGAAAACCATTGTCAGTGAACACAGTTTGCTACTTATGGAAGCCCATTTCCGCCACCCTGATAAAAAATAAATAAAACTTGTATTTCATTAATTATGACTTAGCTATCTCATAATTATGACTTAGCTAAGTCAAAATTATGAGAAAGTATCTCATAATAATGAGATAGCTAAGTCATAATTATGAGATACTATCTCATAATAATGAGATAGCTAAGTCATAATTATGAGATACAGGTTTTATTTTTTTTATCAGGGTGGCGGAAACGGGCTTCCACAGCTACAATCTACAAGTGTAAGTTAAAACTCCGCCGGACATTTCTAAAGTCATTTGTTAATAACACCCAAAACATGCTACCAGCTTCTGTGGGCCTGAGCTCATCTGAGATGGATTGATGCACAGTGTAAAAGTGTCTATTACTACTACTTCGACTTTATTTTCTTCTTCTTTAACTTAATTCAGATGGCTGCTACAGTTAAATGACCTAAGCAATCAAATATATATATAT